ATTGTACATGAACCGGCTGACCCTTTCGTATTGTACTCTGTGGAAGAACCAAGTAACACTAGTGCTACTCTAGAGGATTCTGGCAATTTTGTGCTTCATGAACTGAGTTGGGATGGATCTATAAAACAGGTTCTGTGGCAAAGCTTTGATCATCCTACAGACACGCTACTTCCAGGGATGAAATTGGGGATTAACTCCAAGACTGGTCACAACTGGTCTCTGACATCATGGAGAAGTGATAGTCTTTTACCCCGGGCTTGGATCCTAGAGATACAAGTCCGCTGGTCATATGGTGGCGAGGGGAAACGTACTGGAAAAGCGGGTCTTTCCTACAAGGGTCGTCTCTCGTTGCCCTACTCAATGGTTCGTACGATTTTGGTTTCATTTCAAATGAGAATGAAACATACTTCAATTATACTGTGAAGAAAGCTGTTGCCATTTTCCCAATGTTAAAACTGAATCCGGCGGGTGAACTTGTGAGTTCCAAGGCAGATTCTGTGGCTTTAGAAGTTTCATGTACTAAAAACCTGAGCATAGGGTGCTTGAAGCAGAACATATCCGAGTGCAGAAGCTTGGGAAATAAAGTCTTCCAGCATCATACTGGTTTCATGTCCAACACTGGATTTAAATTTAGCGAGAGTGATAACCTGTCTCGTATTGATTGTCAGGCCGAATGCTTGAATGATTGTTCTTGTGTTGCTTATGCTTCGAAAAATGATGATGGGACTGGCTGCGAGATTTGGAGCACTGGAATTAGTTTTACGGAATCTATAACCAGAGATGACAGGCCAGATGTCAGCCGTAATATATTCATTCTTGAACCAAGAGGTACGTTTTAATTTACTTCAATGTAACAGTTGAACGTTTATTTAGGAAATGTATATTTGATGCTCTGCATTTTCATTTCAATATTATAGCAAGGGATTCATGAATATTGACTAGAACTGATGATTAATCTCTTTCATTCCTCTCAATTTCAATATAGCAAGGGATTCAGGTTATTTCAGTGCTTCTAAATTCTAGTAATCCGCGTATTACTTAACTGAATTTTCCCCTTTCTCTCTTCTTCTTCCCTTCTTTAAGCTTTGTGATCTCTGATGTGTCAACAATCTGAACTTTCTTCGTCGTTTCTTCCATGGGTTGCTAAGACATTTGCAGTAATTTAGGATCTTTAACATTGGATGCTACACACAGAAAACTTATGTCGTTTGAGACTTTGATCTCAAACATTAATTTTATTGTAAAAATTTGGAGCAAATGTCTTAATGTTCAGCTTTATTCTTGCTCTAGGGATCTTGAATCTAATGGTCACAGCGTAAGCTTCTTTCATGACTATTGTCTTATTTCTAGGGAGCATGAAGTTCGTTTATTTCAAGATATAGGATTTCATGAGTTGATAGTATGACACCATGAATTAATGTTTTGTCATTCCCAGAGAATAAGTGGCGGATATGGCTAATCATGGTGCTTGGAGGACTTATGGTTGTACCCCCATTATGCTCAATATGTTATGTCATATGGAAATGGAGCAGAAGAAGAGGTAGTTATCTTAATAAAGAAACTCAACTGATGATCTCTTTTCTCTAAATTCGTTCTTTTTGTGCTCAAGTTATCAACGATCACTTGTGAGAACATCTCCCAAGGTCTAAATCTTTGTAACTTACATAGGGGATGGAAAGATGAACCAGAGGATGCTGTTAAATGAAATAGGAGGTGGTGCAATGCCTTCTAGCTCAAATGAGAACCGTATAAGTCACAAAAAAGATGGACATGATAATCAGTTGAATGTATTCAGCTTTGAAAGCATTGCTGCTTCTACAAACTATTTTTCAGTAGGAAACAAGCTAGGAGAGGGCGGATTTGGCCCAGTTTATAAGGTAGTAAAAATATCCTGAAACTAAATTTAAGATTCATCAGCAATTACTAATGGGATATAATTTCAGGGAAAACTTCTTGATGGGCGAGAAATAGCAGTAAAGAGACTTTCAAGTCATTCAGGGCAAGGACTGCTGGAGTTCAAGAATGAAGCCATACTCATTGCAAAACTACAGCACACCAATCTCGTAAGGCTGTTAGGATTTTGCATTCAAGGGGAAGAAAAGATATTGATCTATGAGTACATGCCTAACAAAAGCGTAGATTTCTTTATCTTTGGTAGGGCATCCTTACCAACATCATAGTTGCATATTTGGGAATCCTTTGAGTTTGTCATCTGTCATTACATCATGATTATTATCCACTGAAGTTTCTGCATGACACAGATTCTGATAGAAAATGCAGATTAAATTGGAAGAAACGTTTCAACATAATCGAAGGGATTACTCAGGGACTACTTTATCTCCATAAATATTCAAGACTCAAAATGATTCACAGAGACTTAAAGGCTCGCAATATTTTACCTGATGATGAGATGAATCCGAAAATATCTGAGTTTGGCATGGCTAGAATATTTGGACTAAATGAATCTGAAGCAAATACTAAAAGTGTTGTTGGAACTTAGTAAGTATAGTGAATTATAAGCAGAAACTAGTTTGTTAGTTGTTCTCGCAAGTAATGGAAAGTATCCTTGATTGTTTCTCTAGTGGCTACATGTCTCCAGAATATGCCTTTCATGGCATTGTTTCAATCAAAACTGATGTGTTTAGCTTCGGAGTCCTACTACTAGAGATTGTGAGTGGCAAGAAGAATAATCGCTGCTATCATTCAGATCGTCCACTGAACCTTATAGGTTATGTACGTTCTTCTTTACTTTCTTTTTTGTTTTTTACGTTGAAAAATGAGTTATTGTTGAAGCTACAGTTTTGGCTTTAGGATTTTGCATAAGCAACGTGCATTACCTTATATATACATATTTGTCTACCATGATCTCCATCAGGCATGGCAGCTTTGGAATGAAGGGTGAGGTTTAGTGCTCATAGATCCAATATTGGGTGAATCCTGCAATAGAAATGAAGCACTGAGATGCATTCATGTTGGTCTCTTGTGTGAACAAGACCATGCAATAGATAGACCCACCATGCCGGATGTTGTTTCAATGCTTTCAAATGAAACTGTGACAACTACCAGCACCGAAGCAACCGGCATTTTTCATTTACGCAGCTGAGGAAGCGCGGATATAGCTGATATCAAGTCAAACAAGTGTTCCATAAATTATGTGTCAGTCTCAGCGATGGAAGCAAGATGAATGCGGTAGTATTGATGGATATAGCTATGCCTGCCTAGGAAAAAGCATGAAGTGAAAATACGGTACATACATACTCAGCACATGTAATTGATTGTCTATCTAGATACTAGATCGTTGCTCAACTAAGGATACTGCTCTGGAAGTACATGTCTTAGACAACGCCTTTTTGGCCAACCTGCTTTCAATTGATAATCAGAAAGTTTGAATAAGATTATCAAGTTTTGCCTAGCTGCTAATCTAAAAAGTTACTGCTGATGTGAGCCTCAGACTCGGCTCTCTCTTCTCTCCAACAACATGCACTGTGCAAAGCCCTTAACGGGTTTGTTTTGTTTTACATGAAGTGGGTATAGAGTCAGAGATCCTGGTTTATTGATCTCCATTTTTTTGTTATTGCGTTGAGTGTTGTAACTTTGTACTATTATCGTGAACAACTTGTTTCCTTGCAGCAAAATTCCCATGCTTTCTTGGAAACTATAAATAAATTGTGCTTGGTTTAATTCAGTTCAACAATAGTTATCATTATATGATGTCAACAAAGTTAACCGATTTGTCTATCGAGTTATCAATTATTCTTGATTTAACATATATTTAAAAGTTTCACACGTAGAATATAAAAATTAAATAATCTGAATAATTTAAATTTTTTTAATAATTTATATGTTTTTAAATATTATGCTTTTTATATAGATAGAAGGAAGCTTGGGATAACTTAAGAAGGGATCATGTGATTAACAAAACAAAAGGAGATACCTGTAGCCTGGAAACCCCCAAATCACAGCTATGTTAAGCTTAATGTGGACAGAAGTCCCAAACGTCAGCTGGGCATGGCAGCTTCGGGAGAGTTAATAGTGGATGAGGCTGGTCAACGGATATCAAGCTTCACTTATAAGATTGGCATCTCCTTTCGCCTTAATAGCAAAATTTTGGGCCTTATGCTGGGGACTTGAGTTGTGTTGGGACGTGGGTATCAAGAAAGTACAGGTGGAGTCGAATCCTTTATTGGCAATTCAGAAATTATTGAGTCAATCTCAAATTTAAATTCAAATGTCAACATACTTGAATCAGTGTATCGATTAAATGATTATTCATCACAATAATATACTTTTGAGGTTATAATTCTCCATCATATAGCATTAGTTTAATTTTATTTTCAAACTCTTTGAATATTGCTTGATTTAGAATGATAGAGTTGATTTTATATTTATTTCCCTCATATGAAAAAAAGTAAACCTATTCTATTATATATTAAAATGAGTTAACACAGAGCATGCAGGATGACAAGATTCAAAATATTATTAAATTTGTTCCTCTCTTGTAAGAATTGTGACTTCAGAAACCATGGGTTCCATATATTGGGAACTTCACCAATCGAGGAAGATGAATCTAACCTTTTGTGAGTCTAGCAAGGACATACATTTTGTTAAAGGTGAGTAAAACTGGACTGGATCAATAATTTAATTGCATTAAATGTAATTCAAGTAAAATAGTTTAGTTTAGTTGATTCATTGCATTTATTAGTCCGAAAGCTTTTATTTAAATAATTTATTTGATCGGTTTTTAATTTTAAAATTTTTAAATTGAATCAATTAAAAGATTAAATTATTTTATTTATATATTTTTAAAAATTTATATTTTTATTATTAATTTTCATTTCATGTTTTATAATTATAGATAAAGTTTATAAATTTTAATATTATAATTTATAAAAAAATGATAAAATTTGATTTTTTTTTTATGTAAAATCAAACCGATATAGTTGATTTGTTTGGTACTGTTTTATATTCGATCGATTGTGATTAATTTTTTACAAATGTTTGATTAATTTGATCTTTAAATATAATTGACTGAACTGCCTGAGCCCTATGCTTTCTCTCATGAATTAACATTTAAAAAGAAAAAAAAAAACAAAGATTGAAAAAATAATGGTTATTCACTTGTATCGCCACTCCATTGAAAGGGTAAGTAAAATTATAGTCATACTCCCGTTACTTGTTGTACTAAGAAGGAAAATAAAAGCAAATCCTAGACAAAAATCAAGATTTGCTGAGAATTAAAACCATGTGTGTTAGCCCCCTGTTTAAGGGGGTTTCCATCATTCCTGAACAAGAAAGTTAATACAAGCACCTAGTGAATTGTTTATTATGTATAGAAAATCGATAAAGTACACTAGCAACAGACATAGACATTAACATCGAGGCCGCTGCCATTTGTTGTGACTTACAGAGAGTTTATTGGGGTTGACGACTACGCCTCCTAGTAAATCCATTCGCGTGGGTTTCTCAGTCGTTGTTGTATCAGCAATTTTAACACCTTTGCTTTTGCAGCAGTTGACTCTTGGAGAAGGGTAGGTATGAACATCAGCTGAAGATTGGCAGCTAGGAAATATTCTTTGAAATCAGTTGCTTATCAACTAACTACTCCTCTTTTTTGTCTTTCCTGCAAGATTTCTCTTCAATCAGCTCATCTCCCTCATTGTTATGTTTCTTAAACCTTCGTTCAATCCCTACTCTTTTTAAAAAAGGGTAAAAACTGTACGACCAAATTTCGATCGTTCATCATCGACAATCATGGTATGCGGTATGCCTCACATTGCATTTCTGTACCTAATTAGTTGAGTGTGAATTTTCTTAAAGTGCGTTTTTGCTGGTATTTTTACAGGCTCTCATGCCACTGATGCTACGCTCACTAGCAAGGCTAGTAACAGCGCTAGTGGCTCAGCCAGCAGCCTCTGTCACGACGCTGCTTTATTTCAGCGATCTTCTACCGCGGAACCCCGACCTAGAAAGATTGGTTCGACGCGATTTGCTGGACCGAGAAAACTACTTGTTCCATTTTCTCATCAACCTCTTGAGATGTTTTTGGTAGTAGCATATAGCCAGCCCTGATTTTCATTTCCGAATTCTTAGAAGTCATTGAGGTGGGTAGTTATGGTAACAGTTTTTGACCCCCCCATTTTTGTTTTCCAGACCGAGCTCGGATCATTTTGTGGGATGGTATCTATTGTTGGATCGGTGAGATTTATGTAGTACATGTTATTTGAAGAGAGCTCCCAGATTGAAGACTAGAAATTAGTGTAATTGCGTAATAAAGATTTTGATTGTAGAGAAGATTGCAAATGGTGTTAAACTATTGAGTATATGATGCACTTAAAGCTCTGCCAATCAAATTGCAATAGAAGATCTTTTCTTCTTTCTTCTTCTTCTTTTCCGTGGTCCCTTGTGTCCATTGAGGTTTATGCACATATTTTGGGAATGAATCAGAGAGTTCTCAGGTGAACCGTGCCGAGACACGTGGGGCTGTCTTGGAGACCTGGACCATGGAGGCTGCTAGAGAAACATTTAGGTGATATTTAGTACTTTATAATGTAATATGATTACAAGTAATGTGATTGTAAGTAATTTGATTGTAGAAAAAATAATATTACAGTATTTGGTATAAAAATAAAATAATAATTAAAATATAGAAAAAATAACATTGCAACGATTGATTTTCAAATATTTTGTTAGGAATATAATATTAATTTTTTAAATTACTCTTATTTATTAAAATATAAATTTAATATATTTATTTTTTTTATTATTAATTTTTATATAATATCATCTCTTAAATATATTTTATTTTTATTTTTTATTATAATATTATATATTTTGTTTTTATTTTTATTTTTATATTATATATTTTATTTTAATTTCTTTTACTTATATTATATAAATTTTAATTTCTTATATTTTATTTTATTTTAATTTTTAATTTTTATATTATATATTTTATTTCCATGTTTTTTATTTTAATGATAATATTAAAAAATATTTTTAATAAAGTAATAAAATTAAGAGTTAAAAATATCTTTAATAACATTACAGAGTAAAATGTAATATGATTGTATTAGTTTTGAAATACAATTACATTACCAATGCAATCACATTATATCTCTTAACTGTAATGTGATTGTGTTATAATTTTATATTATAGTAATTTATTATAAAATAAATATTAGAATATAATTTAATTAAATATATTATAAAAAATATACTCTTATTGTTTTAATATCATATGCTATCTTAATGTGGTGTAACTTACTCACTGTTCAAGGTTTCATGAATCAAAATCTCACCTATTTTGAGCTGCTGGGCTAAAGACCGCTCATACGCATCCATTATGGACTGAAACATCCTTTTTTATCTGCCAACACCCAAATAAAATTTTCCCTCAACCCAAGAAATAATAACTAAATGGGTCCAGAATTATCGAAACCATGGGCCCCTATGCAAGCCCTCTAGTGGGAAGGACTACCGATGCTCAGCCCCTCACTTGAGGCCTTGGAAAGCTTGAAGCTCAATTCGTTTTCTGTGGGGGTGGGGGGGAGTTAGGAATTCGAGTCATGGGCTCATGGCTGAGGAGGTGAACATTTTCCATTACTTGATCTAAACACTCTTCCTTATATCATGGGTGAAAACTGATCGATCTACGCTTGACCCACATTAATGGGGAAACTTACTCTCAGCGTATTATTAAGCGTTAAACCCTTATCCCCCTGTCAGCTATTAATGAACTGAGTTGGTCAAGAAATGTTGATACCATTCTTATCTTGAAATTAAAATGCTTTGTGAGAACTGAAAGGCCAAAAGCATTTCGACTTTGCAACAGGACCAATAATATCATCGTCTTCCCTTCTCTTGAAATTTATAGTAATCAGTATCGTCCATAAATACAATCGATTTGTAGCCACCGCAATTTGCAGTGTAAGAACCGCGTTTAGAGTCAGTCAGTAGTCGTGCTGATTTGGTAGCACAAGCTATGAGTCAAAGACTCCGTTGGATTCACGTGGAATAGTTTCCTGTTTTTCCGGAATAAGTTTTCTTGGAATTTGCATATATTCTATTGCTGACTCTTACCTGATTTCCCTGTAACGTACCCTTTTAGCTAATATGATCAACAAACTTCATTCTCACGCGATCGGAACAAGTTTGATAACCACTTTAACTCCACAAAAGCAGAACCATAACCAATTCATTTCGCTCATGCCTTTTTCCTCCTGCGTCCATAGCCAACTTATTGCTAGCTAGCTGTCTGTCCCCCATATGGACCATGTGCTGCCCTGCTTCATGCAGCTACTTCTTTCAAAAATGTGGTAAAGCTTTACTCCGTTTATGTGCCTGAAGACATTCGCCTTGACTCTCTTTAAAACAGGTCCATTGTCACAATGCTCTGTCTGCTCTATCCATAATCTATTACCAAGTAGAAGTTTCTTTATTTGATATTGTTCTGACAATCTTCGTAGAAATCCAATTAGTTGGTGTATGATGATGTTGATGTAAAAGGTTTACACTCACTCTGGTTAATAATTAGTCTGTCTCCATCCATACACAATGGTTGATCATGCCTCGTGAACATAAAGGTTTGAACTTGAGTTCATTCTATACTTAAATAAAAGAAATCGTTCATCCTATTAAATTGTTTGATCTATACTCCTATT